AGAGAGAGAGAGAGAGAGAGAGAGAGAGAGAGAGAGGAGACATGTGAGCAGGAGAGAGTCAGAAAAAGAGGGAGAGAGAAATCCCAAGCAGGCTATGTGCTGGGCCTGACATGGGGCTTGAACCCACAAACCGTGAGATCATGAGTTGAGCTGAAATCAAGAGTTGAGCTGAAATCAACCAACTGAGCCACCCAGGTGCCCCTAAACCTTAGTGGTTTAAAACAATTTATTGCACATGATTCTGGGGGTGACTGGGCTCAGCTAGGTGGTTCTCATTTAAGGTCTCTCATGTGGTTGCAGCTAGATGGTAGACTGAGGCTCTGAAGTCATATGAAGGCTTGACTATGCTGGTTGTTCAAGTTGGCTGTCTCACACTTAATGTTAGCTGCCAGCTGGGAATTCAGCTAGGCCTGCCAACCAGAGCACCTACATGTGGCTCCTCCATGTAGCTTGGGCCTCAACATCATGGCTTCTCGAAGGAGCACCCCAAGAATATCCATTCTAAGAGGGGAAGTAGAAGCTGTTAATCTTAGGGTTGGGGCCCAGAAACTGGCACATTGTCACTTTTGACATGGTCTATTCAAAGCAATCACAAGGTCCACTAATCCAAAGAGAGAGGATAAATACCCCACCTCTCATTGGCTGTAGTATCAAAAAGTTATGACGTCTTTAATCTGCTATAATGTCCATTAGAACTTTCCATTTGTGACATTCTCATTAAGTACAATTTACTAAAACTGTCAAAATTCCTTTTACAAGGCACGTGACTTACAACAGTTAAAAATTAGATGGATAGTCTATTTCACCATCCAATCTCATGTTTACCCCTAGTAAGAAGATTGAATAAAATACTTCAAATGATTTTTCCCACCCTTACTACTAAGTTTTACCACGACCAAGAGGAAAGTCAGGGAAGGATTCCTTTTCCTGGTAATGGTCTCTGTCTTTGCTGAAGCTTGAACAGCCTCTGGCTTCACTGTGAGTTTTGGGGTTTCTGAATTCTTTTGGTCTACCCTCTTAGAAGACAGCAGTTCTCAGCCCTTGACTCAGTGCTCAGGAGTCAGGTACCTGAAGGAAAAGCCTAAGAAAGTATATGACTTTTCTTACCCCACTTATGAAAAGTCATAGTTCTGTTGACTCCATGGCAAGTAGGAGCCTTACAGAACAAAGGCTCTTGGTATATGTTCACATTGAATTTTTGAATTGAAACTTTTGGTTTTGAGATGATTGTAGATCCACATTCAGTTATAAGAAATAATGCAGGCAGATCTCATGTACCCTTTACCTAGTTTCCCCCAGTGATATCATCTTGCAAGGCTATGGTGCAATGCCACAACCAGGGTAATGGCATTGATACAATCCACCCATCTTCTTCAGATTTCCTCAGTTCTCGTGTGTGTGTGTGTGTGTGTGTGTGTGTGTGTGTGTGTGTGTGTGTGTTTAGTTCTATGCAATTTTATCACATGTGTAGCTTTGTTTATATACCACTACAGCCAAGATGCAGAACAGTTCCGTCACAGCAAAGATCCCTTGTGATCTTTTATAACCATACCCACCTCCCTCCTGCCACTCTTCCCTAACTCCCAGCAACCGCTTATTTTGTCACTTCAGGAATGTCATTTAAATGGAATTGTATGGCATGTATCATTTGAGATGGGTTTTTTTCACTCAGCATAATTCTGTCGAGATTCATCCAAGCTGTGTATATTGCTAGTTCATTCCTTTTTATTGCTGAGTAGTGTCCCATGGTATGGCTGTACCATAGTTCGTTGAACCAGCCACCTCTTGAAGGTCATCTAGTTTGTTTCTAGTTTGGGGCTATTAGAAATAAAGATGATATGAATATTTGCATACAGCTTTTTATGTGGACATAATCTTTCATTTCTCTGGGATAAACGTCCCAATGTACAATCGCTGGGTTGTATGGTAGTTGTATGCTTAGTCTTATAAGCAACTACCAAACTGTTTTTCTGAAACGGCTACACCATTTTACATTCCCACCAGCAATGTCCAAGTGAACCAGTTTTTCCACATTGAATGATTTATTTATTTATTTACTTTTTTTTTAACTTTCAACTTATTTTTTTATATTAAATATAATTTGTCAAATTGGCTTACATACAACACCCAGTGCTCATCTCAACAAGTGCCCTCCTCAATGCCCATCACCCATTTTCCCTCTCCCCCCCCACCCCCCCCACACCATCCACCTTCAGTTTGTTCTCTATATTTAAGAGTCTCTTGTGGTTTGCTTCCTTCCCTCTTTGTTTGTATTTATTTTCCCCCTCCCTTCCCCCATGGTCTTCTGTTAATTTTCTCAAGGTCCACATATGAGTGAAAACATGGTATCTGTCTGTCTCTGACTGACTTATTTCACTCAGCACAATAACTTCCAGTTCCATCCATGTTGCTGCAAATGGCAACATTTTATTCTTTCTCATTGCCAAGTAGTATTCCATTGTATGTACAGGAGTGCTGATCCATAGGGGTACATGTACCCCAATGTTTATAGCAGCGCTTCCACATTGAATTTTAATGATGTGAATTACCAACATTGTTTTTAATGTTTGATGGCTTGGCAGCCTAATGTGAACCAAGCATTACTGCCTACTTTCCCCCTCTTGGTCACTTAGGAAAGCCTTGAGACACCAAGAACAGACAAGGAGAAGGATCTTCTGGGGCTGTTTTCAGTGGTATCTTTATTTCCACCTCATACCCCAACCTATGTGTTCATTGATGGGTTCCAGTCCTCATTGTACCATAGACTGTGAGTAGCCACTGACTGACCACACGTGTGTCCTATATCTCCTCTCAAATTCCTTTTACTTTAATGTTAAAAGTTACAGAGAAATACCTTCATAGAGTTTTCCAGCCTCTCTTTTTCTTATACCTAAGGCGTATCTTAAACCAGTAAATTCTAACATAGTTGAATGGAAATGGATTGTCATATTTAATCCAGCAAGTTAATAGTGTACATTCAAACATGGGCTACAAAATAATAAACCAAGCATTGTCACGTTTTCTTTTCACGTGTTTTCCCTTGGCCAGGTGGAATTTGCTGCTGACATAGGCCTTCACTATAAAGGAGAGCTGACAGTTGTCTTACGTTACATTCCCCCAGAGGAGAACCTGGTGCTTCCTCTAGAACAAGTTCAAGGTAGAGTAAAAATTGGTGACTTTGATCAAGGACATTCTGTATCTAGAAGCGTGGGGATAGGGCTCAGGAATTGTTGGATTATGTTACTTTCCCATTATGCAGATGAAAATGTAAAGGATTAGGTGTCACTAACTTTGGAGAGAGTTGAGAAGTATATCTGACATACGGGGAAGGGTGCAAGATCTTTACAAGTAAAGGGCAAATTTCATACTTAGAAACCAGGCTTAATGGTGATATTTGTTTCCTGGAAGTCCCAGAGACCTAGAATCTTCCCCAGGATGGAGTGGGGAGGGAGGGAGTGGTACAGTCTGCTGAGAGGGGAGGTGTAAAAAGCTGCTGTACCTATTTATGATATTGACAGTTACTCAGGGAGTCTTGAGGAGGAAGTTGACTAGAACACACCAAAGGAAAAATCCAGATGGAGTCAACTTTTAAATCCCTTTTGCCCTTCTACCATCAACTCCTATAGCCAGCTTCCTCTGTCCTTCCATTCCTTATCACCCTCTTCATTGTGACCCTGTGCAAGTAATTACTGTCTCTCAGCCTCCGTCTCCTTACTTCATAGGGTTATTGCAAGGATTAAATAGGTTCATTCATGTAACGTGCTTAAAGCAGCACTAAATAAAGGTGGTGGTGGTGGTGGTGGTGATTATTCATGTTGAGCACATTTCATCAGAATAAAAATGTGACACAGGAAGAGTTTTCTCTCACTCAAAAATGTAGTTGTGCCTGGGCTATATATTGCCTTTGGAGCTGGCCTTGCACAGTTCTCAATTTGTAAGACTGAAACATCCAAGAAGGAAGTTATGGAATTTTCTCTTTTGGAGTCTGCACACTTGTGTGTGGCGTTCACTGTCGCTGTTTCTCAATGAGAGCAAGAATGTGGCTCAGGCAGCTCTCAGGGTCTTTTCCCTTTTCTCTCTATATATACCTGTGAAAAGATATTCCTTGTTGGGGGATAAAGTTTTAAATTTATTTGTTCCTGGGGGGTGGGAGGGAGGGGAGGGTGGGGGATGGGTATTGAGGAGGGCACCTTTTGGGATGAGCACTGGGTGTTGTATGGAAACCAATTTGACAATAAACTTCATATATTGAAAAAAAATAAATTTATTTGTTCTTGTTTTTCAACAAACACAAATGGGAGACCTATCCAGAAGGAATCCAGTGGGGTAAAAAACATTTAAATAAATACATGGAAAAATACACGGTAGCGTAAAGACCTGATTCAGTCAGCAAATGAAATCAGTATTCGCAGATTTTCTTTCTGAACTTTGAAATAGAACCCTCTCTCTCTTCCCTTCTTTCACTTCCCTTCTCCCTCCCTCTCTCTCCGTCTCTCTCAATCTCTCTCATTTTGATGGCTGATGCAGGAAAGAAGAGCTTCAAAAGGGGAAAGAAGAAGGAGTCACCTGTAATATTTGGAGGAATACTGGAAGTGTTCATCAAAGAGGCAAAGAATTTGACCGCAGTGAAGTCGGGAGGCACTTGCGATAGCTTTGTGAAGGGGTAATTTTGTTTTAACTCATTTTAGAAAATACTTAATGGGAGATGAGAGGGTCTGTGATCCATGAGACAGTGGTGGCCGTGAGACTTCTGTGTTAGTCTTACTCTAAATGTACAAGGTAAGAGCTACCCTTAAATGCTGCCTTTTTTTTTTTTAAGTTTATTTATTTTTGAGAGACAGAAACAGAGAGTGAACAGCAGAGGGACAGAGAGAGGGAGAGACAGAATCCCAAACAATCTCAAAAGTGGAATCCCAGTGCGAGGCTCAGTCTCATAAACTGTGAGATCATGACCTGAGCCAAGATCAAGAGTCAGACACTTAACTGACTGAGCCACCCAGGTGCCCCATAAATACTGGCTTTTAGATATGAAACAACACAAGTATAGAGGGGGCTGCTTATTCTAGCTTTCAGCTTGCTTCCAGCATATTTCAGGATTTCTCATCATTCTCATCCTCAATACTGGCAGATTTTCCTGTAAGATTCATTTCTCAAAGGAGGAGAAATATGATTTTCTACGTGTAATATATTTTTTATTATGCTTTGTTATCATTTGGTACTGGTAATATACAAAAGCAACAAAAATATTAGATCATTGGTGTTTTGTTCTCTTAGGGGAAATTGTAAAAAGTAGAGATTTCAGAGCACCTTCCCCAGAGATATCAACTGGAGAGTGCTTTGGCAGAGGCATATTTCTTTTTTCCAGTTTTTTCTTGTGATTGATTTCTAGTTTCATACCATGGTGGTCAGAATAGATACATGGTATGATTTCAGTCTTCTTAAGTTTATTGAAGCTTGTTTTGTTGCCTAAGATGTGATGTATTCTGGACAGTGTTCCATGTGCACTTGAAAATAATCTGTATTCTGTTGTTTTGGAACGGAACGTTCTGTATATATCTCATGTCCATCTGGTCTAATGTGTCATTCAAAGATACCTTTTCCTTATTGATTTTCTGCCATTGATTTAAGTAGGGTGTTAAACCCTACTGTTACTATGTTACCACCAATTTCTCTTTATGTCCATTAATATTTGTTTTATGTATTTAAGTGCTCCAATATTGGGTGCATAGATATTTACAATTATTATACCCTCTTGTTAGATTGATCCTTATCTCATTATGTAATACCCTTCTGTGTCTCTTGTTACAGCCAGCCTTTGTTTTAAAGTCTATTTTGTCTAAGTATTATTGCTCTTCCAGACTTTTTTTTTTTTTTTGCTTCCATTTGCGTGGTAAAATTTTTTCATCCTTTCACTTTCACTCTGTATGTGTCTTTAGGTCTGAGGTGAGTCTCTTATAGGCAGCATATAGATGGATCTTGTTTTTTTATCCATTCTGCCATCCTCTGTCTTTTTATTGGAGCCTTTAGGCTGTTTATATTTAAGATCATTTTGAATAGGTAGGAGCTTACTGCCATTTTGTTCATTGTTTTTCTGGTTGTTTTTGTAGTTCTTCTTTGTTCCTCTCTTCTTCTCTTGCTCTCTTTCTTTGTGATTGGTGATTTTCTGTAGTGTTATATTTGGCTTTCTTTCTCTTTATGTTTTGTGGATTTATTATAGATTTTAGGCACGAGGTTAATTCTTTGAGTCAGTCACATTACTGTTCTTCTCATCAATCCTTCTTAGAAAAGTATAATTGTCTCTATAAGAAAATGAGTCAAACTTTTACCCTCACAACATTCTAATTTTGATAAAGCAAATAATAAAGAGAAGCAGATATCTGGGACTTTCCTGCTGCTGAGTGTGTGGGCCTGAGTCCCAGTCCATCTGTCCTTCAGTCTTTCTCACAATAGTTTTAAGCACAAAAGATATGTTTTATTTGTATCCTGACATTGCATTTTCTCTCATCAGCCCCACCATCCATTCCGGCCTCTTCCTGCTCACTGTCTGGTGGGATGAGGGAATGGCTCCTTCCTATGGCCTCATTGTCGCCTTACAGGGGTGATTTAACATCTTTTGAAATAGTTTTCACTGTATCTTGTTGAACATTTACAAAGAAGAGATAATAAAAGATAGTATCGGGGCGCCTGGGTGGTGCAGTCGGTTAAGCGTCCGACTTCAGCCAGGTCACGATCTCGCGGTCCGTGAGTTCGAGCCCCGCGTCAGGCTCTGGGCTGATGGCTCGGAGCCTGGAGCCTGTTTCCGATTCTGTGTCTCCCTCTCTCTCTGCTCCTCCCCCGTTCATGCTCTGTCTCTCTCTGTCCCAAAAATAAATAAACGTTGAAATAAAAGATAGTATCTTTGTTCTATCATGAAAAAGGGCCTATAACGTTCTAGTAAATTGTCTCCCTAGTTACACCTAAATATTGAGCTGATTTTCAAGAGACCTTACATTTTTTTAAGAGAGCTTGAGAAAGCAAAGTTTTTTCTGTTGCATGTAAACAAACACAAAAGGTAAAGTATCTAGGGCAGGTATGAAAGCTTCATGATAATTAGCGACCCATGTTTCTTCTGTCTTGTTATGGTATTCACCTCATTGGCCCAGGTAGCTGCTGGAGTTTCAGCTATGCCATCCAAATTCCAGCCATAAGGTAATTCCCAGAAACTTCATATAGAGCCACTTTTTGTGTCCTATTGGCCAGAACTTAGTACACAGCTATATAGGCTGCAAGGGAGGCTAGGAATGTTGTCTTTATTCTGGGCAATCTTGTGCCTAACTAAAAAAAAAATGAGTATTTTAAAGAAGAAGGAGAGAATGAATATTGGGAGATAAGGAGTCTTTTTCTTGGTACATGGAATGCAATCTCAAGTGTTGCAAGGTGTCTTATTTATTATAAGAACCTACTATAGGAGATACTTTCATTTCAAGATGAGGGACCAAAATAGGATTAGAAAGGAAAGTGCAGGAATTTTACTATTGCCCTACTTAAAATAAACAATAAACCATTCCACTTAAATCTAGATTTAAGCATAGAAGAACCTAGAGGAAAAAAATCAAATACACACACACACACATGCACGCATGCACACACATACACATATTAAGAATTAGGGGAGGGGCGCCTGGGTGGCGCAGTCGGTTAAGCGTCC